CGCAGGGGCCATGGCTGCACAGGAGCTACGCTGGCACACCTACCTGCTGACTGACCTAGGAGAGCCGCCTCGTTCTCCTCGAGTTCTGCACGTAGACAACAAGGCTATGCTGGCCTTGTGTCGGGAGCACAGACTGGAGCACAGAACGAAGCACATTGCTCTTCGCTACTTCCTGGCTCGTGAGCTGCAGCAGCGTGGTCAGCTCCGCCTCACCTACGTGGCCTCTAAGGCCAACACTGCTGATATCTTCACCAAGGCCCTTCCGCCTTGTGATCATCAGCGCTTCTGTACTTTGCTAGGTCTTGTGCCTTCTTGGCCTCACTTGCTCACTTCTTGATCTTGTTTGTACTGTACTCTTTCTATACCTGCACTTGCTTATTTACCTTTATATATATGACCTTCCATGTGAACTGGCCTTGTGGCCTTACTCTTGTGCTCGGACTGTGTGGTGACTTTGTGATCCACCGTGAGCTTGCTTTGCTTGACTGGTCTTGTGACCACTTGTTCTCCCCCACTTTGCCTATGGGGGTGTGTCAGAACATTATAGCTTATACATTTGTGTAGGCTGTAGTGGGGTAGCCCATAAGGGGTACAACCCAATTAGGGTCAGCACTTGTACTGAACTCTTTCATAGTTCAATCATTCCTCATTTCTTCACACTTCCTCCACTTCTTTCGTCACTTGATACACCTCCCTAAGTCTCGCCTTTATCCTTAAAGCGTACAGACGTGTTTTCATTTCATTCCTCAGCTCCTCCTCCAACCCCCCCAGGAATTTCGTCACCAAGGTACGCTCCTCAACGCAGCCCATATCCTCAGCCAGCTCTAGCAACCTGTTGTAGTATGCCAGCAGCGACTCTGCCCGTCCTCTTTTAAAGTCTTGGAACTCTATCATACGCTTAGCTGAGTGCCCGGGGAACTGCTCACGCAGCGTGTCCAAAAATCGGTCAGTGATCTCTCCCTGCGCAAAGTCCCCATTTTTGCACTGCATCAGTAGCCCCTGACGCTATGTGTTAATAGCGCGACAAGCAGCAGCGTCCCAGCAAGACCCCGTCGCCCCAGCAGCTCCGTGAATGGTACTCTAAGTGTGGGGGGTCTGGGTGTGGAGGTACCTGCCCGTACGTCATCCGCACAGGTGACCGGACTGGCCAGACCTGTGGGAGGTTTCACACGGCGCAGCGCTGCTTCTTTCGTCTCGACGACGCCTGGCGCGAGCAGTTCCCTGACGCCTCTGGGCTGCCCCGCTGGGCTGATCTGCTTAACAAGAACATTGATATCTTTGCTCTTGATTTTGATGCTATCCTTGGTGCTATGTATGCATGGACGATTAATGTTGAGGGTGACTGCTACCTGAGTGTACCGCCCGACCCAGGTATTGGGACCAATGAGACTGCCACTCTAGGTGCTAGTGCGTCTGCTGCCCTAGGTCCTGGTGAGGCTGCTGTGGGAAATGAAGGTTAGAGTAGAACTGAATGATTGGATTGAAAATGGTAGGGGTATACATAGTTGGGGGTTGGGCACTAGTCTAGGGAGCCATTATTGGACCCCAACCAATAAGTTGGGTTGGGTGATTATTGGTGGGGTCCAATAATCTTGGCCAAGTTGGGGTTGGGCTAACGTTATTGGAGGGAGCCAATAATTCTACCCAACCCAACCTTTTGGGGTCCAATAATTGGACCAAGGTTGGGTTCCAACCTACAAACTGTGTTACCCCGGCTTGTACACCCAAACTCTATTTGGGTGCTTATCTCTAGCCTATTCATGACATGTATGCAGGTTACAAGAGGAGATATATTCTAACACAACCCCTTAACCTGCATAGATGTGGAAAGGCTTGAGGGTAGCAACCCCTGAATCAAGGCGCGCCGGGAGGGGCGAGTGCACATCATCGCGTACATCAGCAACCCAACGAGCTCGGCATAGGGGCGGGTGGAGGCGGAGGGGGAGGTGGGAGGTGCTAGTTGGTGACCAAAGGGGAGGGGGGTGGAGACCGGTTTGGCCTGCGCCATCTCGAACTTCTCCAGGACCTGGCCGATGTAGTGGGACTGGGAGAGGGTGATGGTGCGGGCAGATCGGTTGCGGGTGATGGTCATGCCGAGGTAGTTCTGCAGCGGACCAAGGTCCTTGCACTTGAGACGGTCCTGAAGGGACCGCTTTACCTGGTCCATGTCGGTCCTTGAATTAGCAAGCAGGATCATGTTATCAACGTAGACCGAGATGAAGAAGTGACGAGGGGAGGAGCGGATGAAGAGGCTGGCATCGGAGTGGGAGGCAGAGAAGCCGAGGGACTGGAGAGTGGCAGACAGCTTCGCATGCCATTCTCATGGTGCCTGCTTCAGACCGTAGACCGGGCGACGTAGTTGCCAGACGGTATTGTCGGGGAAAGCAGCGTGAAACCCGGGAGGCCGGCGTAGGAAAATACGCTCGTGCAGCTCGCCTTGCAGGAATGCGTTGGAGACGTCCATGGAGTCAATCTCCATGTCGTCTCGCCTGCCAACGTCAAGAAGAGCGCGAAGGGTGGGTGGCTTAACGGTAGGGGCGAATGTGAACCAGTAGTCCTCAGCCCAAGTCTGCGTAAAGCCCTTGGCGACATAACGGGCCTTGTAGACTGATTCCTCTCCTAGCAGCTGTTTTACTCGGAAGATCCATTTGCCCTCGACAAGGTTAGCGTCAGGAGGGAGGGGGGCGTCGATGAAAGAGTCGTTGCGGATGAAGGCCTCACATTCCAGGAAGATGGCAGCTATCCATTTGTCAGCATCTGGGCAGGTGATAGCTTCCTGGAAGGTGGAGGGGACGAAGATGGTGGGAGCGGAGACCGCGGCAAGGACAAGTGCTCCAAGGAAGCCAGGGTAGAGGGGAGTGAGAGAGGGAGTGTGGCGCTGGACCATAGTGAGTTCCTCATGGAGGTCCTCTAGTAGGTTGAGTGAGGGAGGAGGCGGTGTGCCAAGGATGGGATCAAGGGAGCGGGTGTGCATGCGAGGGAGGAGGAAGGGTGAGGAGCGGGCAGTCGCCCTCTGCCGTTGCTGCTGCTGGTTCTGTTGAAACCCCTGCTGCTGCTGCGGCTGCTGCTCCTCCTACCGCTGGTGTCCCTGCTGCTGCCCCTGCTGGTGCCCCGGCTGCTGCCCCTGCTGGTGCCCCTGTTGCTGCCCCTGCTGCTGTCCCTGCTGCGGCCCCTGCTGCTGCCCTTGCTGCTGCTGCCGCTGCTGGGAAGAAGGGGAGGGAGGGGAGGAGGGGAAGGGGAGGGGGGGGGCGGCGGAGTGAGCAGGGGATGCAGGTGCAGTAGGATCGTAGATTTCAGCAGAGGAGGTTGGTGGAGGTGGAGCAGGGAGAGGTGGTAGGAGAGGTGCGGGGGGGAGGAGGGGAGGGAGGATAGTGTCGGTCCAGGCGAGGGGACGGGTGGGGGAAGGGAGGGGGTCTGGTGGTGGGGAGGAGTAGTACGGGGTGGATTCGTCAAAGACGACGTCAATGCTACGGATGAGGCGACTGGAGGGAGAGTGGAGGAAGAGGTAGCCAGGCGAGTCGCGGTTGTGTCCTAGATAGACACAATCGAGGGCCCGAGAAGCGAGCTTGCCTTGGGTGCAGTCGGAAGGAGGGATAAGAACATATGCCTTGCACCCCCAGACACGGAGACCGGCAGCGTCAGGTTTTGTACCTGACCAGAGTTCCGTGGGGGTGATGGCAGTGTGTTGAGGATGGGAGTGGAGGTTGAGGAGGAGGGCAGCATGAAGCAGAGCATAGCTCCAGAGGGAAGGAGGAGTGGAGGCGGGAGCGAGGAGGCAACGAGCGATTTTGGTGATTTCGCGGATGCGGCTTTCGGTGACACCATTCTGCTGTGGGGAGTGGGGAAGAGTGTGGGTCTGTTGGATGCCATGGGCGGCACAGTAGTGGGAGAGGGTGCGGTTGAGGAATTCGCCGCCACTGTTAGAGTGGAGGCGGCCGATGGGACGGTTGAAGTGGGCACGGCATTGCTCTGCCCAGTGGGTGATCACAGTTGGTGCCTGGTCTTTCGTGTGGAGGAGGAAGATGGAGGAGTAGCGGTTGTGGTCATCTACGAGGACCAGCATGTAGCGATGGCCCTGACGGGAGCGAGTGGGGGAGGGTCCCCAGAGGTCCATGTGGACCAGGTCAATTGGAGCGGGAGCAAAGGACGGGTGGCTGTGATGGGGAGACTGTTTGAGTTTGCCGTGGATGCAGGAGGGGCATGGAGGGGCAGGAGAGGAAGGGAGGGGAGGGAGAGTGGGAGGGAGGCTGTGAAGGAGGCGGGAGGTGATGGCAGAGCGGAGAGCGGCGAAATTGGGGTGGCCGAGGCGGTGGTGTAGCAGAACACCGGGGTGGGAGAGAAGATCGGAGGTGGAGGGGGTTGGAGTGAGTGAGGGTGGGAGAGAGGGAGGTGACTGCTGCCCCTGCTGCGGCGGTTGCTGCTGCTGCTGCTGCTGGCGCGGCCCCTGGTGCTGCTTCAGTGGCGGCGGTTGCTGCTGCTGCTGGCGCGGCCCCTAGTGCTGCTCCTGCGGCGGCGGCTACTGCTGCTGCGGCCCCTGCGGCTGCCCCTGCTGAGGCGGCTGTTGCTGCCGTGGCCCCTGCGGCTGCCCCTGCTGAGGCGGGTGCCGCTGCTGCTGCTGTGGATGCCGCCCCTGCTGTGGCTGCGGTGGATGCAGGTGCTGCCGTTGGGGTGGAGGTGAGGTGGGGGGATGGGGAGGGTTAGTGGAGGTGCCAGCACGAGTGGTGACATGGCAAAATGATGGCCAAGGGGTGCGGAGAGTGTAGAGGCGAGTGCGGGGGCAGAGGGGAATGCGGAGGAGGAAACGGCCGGTGGCGGTGTGATAAAGGTCACAGTAGGTGGTATTACCTGGGTAGACGGCAGTGATACCTGAATTTCGGATTTCTCGATGGGAGAGGAGGTTGTTGCGGAGGGTGGGGATGTGGAGACCAGTTACCTTACTGGAGGGGAAGATTGTGCATGGAAGGGTGGAAAGGTGTGTGCATGGGATGGTGAAACTGCTGTTAGCACCGTGAACCTGAGTGGGAGGAGAGAGGGGTGAGAGTGTACCAGCATTCTTGAGAGCAGTCTCAGTGGCCCCACTATCAAGGACAAAGTCCAGAGTGGGTGGGGAGGAGGCGGGAGACACCGAGTATTGGAAAATGGTTTCATTAATGGTGGAGGGGTACATAGAAGGAAGAGAAGGGGAAAGCGCAATGTTGCCAATAAAACTTTCCTGGGTGAGGGGAGAGACACCACTACCAGGAGGAGGTGGGGCACCCCACAGGGGAGCAGGGGAGGTCTTAGCAGCTGTGGCTGCTGTGCCAAAGTTCAGCTGCTGCTGCTGCCAGGGGGGAGTGCTGGGTGCCCACCGGGGTGGGAGCCCGGGTCCCCAAGGGGGCTGCTGCTGCTGCGGCTGGTGCTGCTAAAACAGCTGCTGCTGCTGTTGCTGCAGAAGATGCTGCTGTTGCAGGTTGAGGAACGGCGTGGGGGGAGCAAGGAGGCGGAGGTGGGCTGGGAGGTAGGCAGGGTTGGCTTGGATGTCAGCAGGGGAGGGACGTGGGGAGATGGTACCCCAGCGGGGAGGTGTGCCGACATTGCCCCGTGCGTACCAGGCATCATCGAGAGCCTTGAAGCAGGTGTTAAGGGGATGGGTGGTTTGACCGCAGGGTGTCCCTGCCCGGGGACCGTAGCGACGGACATAGGTGCAGGGAGGGAGAGTTCCAGGGCGGGGCCCGCGGTTCCCAGAGGGACCGCTCTGACTAGGGGTGCCGTGCTCATCCCCAGTGGAGCCACCACGGCTGCTTCTGCCGCTGTTTCCCTGGCCGCTGCCTCCCTTGCCCCCACCTCCCCCCTTGCCGTTGCTTTTGCCCTGCTTGCGGGGCTGAGTAGCGTTGAGAGAGGAGGAGGGAGGGTGGGAGGAGGTGAGGTTGACCATGGGGGTGCGAAGCTTGACTTCAGTATCAATGATCCACTGTTCAACTGAAGCGAGATCGGCCATGGGATTGGCTTCGGTGAAGGCGTGAAGGGGGGATTCATAGTCAGGGGTGAGGTTGAAGAGGAGGCGATGGATTCGGAAGGGCTCGGAGAGGCCGGCTTGGCGGGCTTCGAGGCGATCGGCTACCTCGCGCATGCGGCCGACATAGTCTACTACTGCGTCACAGGTGGCGAGGGTAATAGAAAGGTATTCCTGGAAGAGGATTCCCACCGAGCTGATGTCGCGGCGTTCGAACATAGCATGGAGTTCTATCCATATCACCGAGGCGCGGAGTTCCCGGGCCTGAAAGCGACGCATGAGGGAGTCAGGGAGAGCACCGAGGATGACAGTGCATGCTCGATTGTCAGCGGCTGACCAGGCGATGAACTTGGAGGTGAAGGTAGCCATATCGTCGGTGTATTCGGCAACGACGGCGAGGTGAGCAGTGCGGCCAGCCACCAGCTGAGCGTAGGCATCAGCTGCTGCATCGTATTCGGCTTTGCGGATCAGGTAAGCACGGCGGCGCATAATGAAATCAGCATCTGCGGTGGACTGGTCGGCGGTGATCTGGAGCTCGGGCTCAAGGGGGGGGTCGCCAGGAGGAGGAGGGAGAGGAGGGGTCTCGCCGGGGTGGTCAGGTTCGGTGGGTGGGAGGGCATGGGGGCGGCGGAGGATTACGTCAAGGACACGGTAGGGGGGGATCCATGCATCGTTGAGGACTCGGCGGATGCTGCCGACGAACGAGTGCCAGTTAATGGCAAATTTGTCAGCTGCAAGCTGGAGTTTATCAATGGAGGAAATGTCGATAGGAGGAGGGAGGGGGGAGGGGGAGGGTATGGGGGTGGCCATGAGGGACGGCTGCGGGTGGACCCGCAGTGGTCACGGAAGCGTGCAGATGGGGGCAGCTGGTGGGGCTGCGTGGGTGCGGAGGCGGTGGGGAGGTGTCGACGAGGTCGCGGAGCGGCGCGAGGTAGCAGGGCACTGGCTGGCGAGGCCGCGGCGGACACAGGCGCATAGGCGGCGATGAGGCCGTGGAGGGGAACGGCGCGGGCGGCAGCGGCTGGCGAGGCCGCGGTGACGCGGGCGCGGAGGCGGCGACGAGGCCGCGGAGAAGAGAGGCGCGGGCGGCGACGGCTGGCGAGGCCGTGACGACGCGGGCGCGGAGGCGGCGACGAGGCCGCGGAGAAGAGCGGCGCGGGCGGCGGCGGCTGGCGAGGCCGCAACGACGCGGGCGCGGAGGCGGCGACGAGGCCGCGGAGGAGAGCGGCGCGGGCGGCGGCGGCTGGCGAGGCCGCGACGACGCGGGCGCGGAGGCGGTGACGAGGCCGCGGAGGGGAGCGGCGCGGGTGGCAGCGGTTGGCGAGGCCGCGACGACGCGGGCGCGGAGGCGGCGTAGAGGCCGCGGGGAGGAGCGGCGCGGGCGGCGGCGGCTGGCAAGGCCGCGACGGCGCGGGCGCAGAGGCGGCGACGAGCCCGCGGAGGGGAGCGGCGCGGGCGGCGGCGGCTGGCGGAGCCGTGACGGCGCGGGCGCAGAGGCGGCGACGAGGCCGTGAGGGGGGTGGGAGAGCGGCGCGGGAGGCGGCGGCTGGGGAGGCCGGGGCGACGGTGGGCGCGGAGGCGGGGATGAGGCTGCGGAAAGAGGAGGGCGCTAAGGGGGGAAGGGGGAAGACGGCGGAGGAGCCGGGAAAAAAAAATATGAAGGCCGGGGGTTGCGGCGGCCGGGTGGGCCTTTGGAACGAGAGGAGGCCTAGGATAGTGAGCTCTATACCATGTGGGAAATGAAGGTTAGAGTAGAACTGAATCATTGGATTGAAAATGGTAGGGGTGTACATAGTTGGAGGTTGGGCACTTGTCTAGGGAGCCATTATTGGACCCCAACTAATAATTTGGGTTGGGTGATTATTGGTGGGGTCCAATAACGTTGGCCAAGTTGGGGTTGGGCCAACATTATTGGAGGGAGCCAATAATTCTACCCAACCCAACCTTTTGGGGTCCAATAATTGGACCAAGGTTGGGTTCCAACCTACAAACTGGGTTACCCCGGCTTGTACACCCAAACTGTATTTGGGTGCTTATCTCTAGCCTATTCATGACATGTATGCAGGTTACAAGAGGAGATATATTCTAATAGCTGCTGCTCTAGGTGCTAGTGAGTCTGCTGCTCCAAGTGCTCGTGCGTCTGCGCTTACTGGTACTGCGTCTACTGAGGCACTACACACCTTCAGACAGGACTCGGGTGCTTCCCGCTGCTTCTTTCGTGACCGTACTGTCCTTGAGCAACTAGCTCGGCCTGTTGCTGTCTCCTTCGCTGACCCCTCTGGGGGCCCGGTCCTTGCAACCTCCTCCACTGTCCTCCCTTGTCCAGCGGTTCCTGCCGAATCCCTGTCGGGTCTTTACCTCCCCTCGTTCTCTACGAACTTGGTGGCGGGCTCTGCTCTCCAGGACGGGGGTGTTCACCAGTTCACCCCTGTCTATGAGCGTGTGACCCACTGTACGTGTGCTCGGACGGGTCGCCACCTGGCTACCTTTACTCGGCACCCGGGGCCGGACCTGAACACACTAACCACTGAGTCCCCTCGGGTAGCTGCGTCTGCGTCTGCGTCACGTCAGCTGTCGGCCCCCTGCTCGTGTCGCACCCTGTCGCACCAGACCGTCCTCTAGCACCACCGCCTTGGTCACCCTTCAGTGCAACGCTTTCGTGGCATGCACTCCCGGTACCTTGTCTCTGATCTTCCCAGGGTTCTCCCTCCTCTCCCACCCTCGCCTGCTCCTCCCTGTCTTCCCTTTGTCGAGGGGCGGCAGTGCGCCACTCCTCACTCCTCCTCGTTCCCTCCCACAGAGGCTCCTCTACAGACTCTCCACCTGGACGTGTGGGGCCCAGTCCGCGTCCGCGGACAGGGCCACGAGCGGTACTTCCTGCTGGTTGTCGACGACTACACGCGCTACACCACGGTATTCCCCTTGCGCACCAAGGGTGAGGTCCTTGATGTTTTGATCCCTTGGATCCGCGCTGCTCGTCTCTAGCTCCGCGACCGGTTCCAGTCAGACTTTCCAGTCCTACGTCTGCACTCTGACAGAGGTGGTGAGTTTTCCTCAGACCTCTTGGCAGCCTATTGTGCGGAGCACGGCATCCGCCAGACATTCACACTTCCAGAGAATGGGATTGCTGAGCGTCGCATTGGCTTAGTCATGGAGGTCGCTCGTACCTCCATGATCCATGCGGCTGCCCAACATTTCATGTGGTCGTTTGCAGTGCAGTACGCTGCGCATCAGCTCAACCTCTAGCCCCGTGTCTGCTCTGGAGACCTCGCCCACACTACGTTGGACGGGGGAGGTTGGGGATGCGTCGGTGTTCCGAGTCTGGGGATGTCGAGCCTTTGTCTGCGATACGTCCGCGGACAAGCTCTCCTCCTGTGCCGTTCCCTGCGTCTTTCTTGGCTTTGTCCCTGACGCGCCTGGCTGGCAGTTTTACCACCCCACCTCGCGCCGTGCCTTCCCCTCTCAGGACGTCACTTTTGACGAGTCGGTACCCTTTTTCCCGTTTGTTCCCCTACTGCGCTGCGCCGCTTCCCCCCCCCCTCCCGCTGCTCTTCCTCATGCCAGGTGCTGCTTCGGTAGACCCCCTCCCTCCCCAGGGTCCTGCTCCCTCAGGTGTTTCCCAGGTAGACCCGGTCGAGCCTGTCAAGGTAGCTATCGACTCTGGTCCTGCGAGGGGTAGTGCGCGGGGGGGTGCTGAGACTGGGGGTGCTGAGCATGGGGGTGCTGAGACTGACGGTGCTGAACCTGGGGGTGCTGAGCCTGGGGGTGTTGAGACTGGGGGTGCTGAGACTGACCATATCGCGCCTAGTGACGCTCCCTCTTCACAGCAGCTGCCCGAGTGGTACTCTCAGCATTACAGCCTCCGGCGTGGGGCTGCTGGAGCTGGGGGTTCTGCCGGAGTTGGAGCTGGTGGTGATGCGTGTGCTGTGTCGCAGCCGGCGCCTCCCTCCCCACACCAACTACGTGAGTGGTACGCTCGGCGCTACAGCCTCCGGAGCGGCGCTCCTAGCACTAGGGTGCCGCTTGCTGGCGGCCCTGGTGCGGCTGGAAATACGGGAGCCCCTTGTCCTGGAGGTGCTCATACAGGCGGTACTAGAGCTGCTGGGACGGAAGGTTCTGCTGGAGCTGGAGCTGCTGGAGCAAGTGCTACTGGAGGTGCTGCTGGTGCTGGAGTTGGAGTTGCAGGTGCTGGAGCTGCTGGAGCTGCTTGTGGAGCTGAGGACGCTGGGCCTACTGGAGTTGGTGTAGATGCTGACGCTGGGGTTGGTCCTGCAGGAGCTGGAGTCGACGGTGCGGCTGGAGCTGGTACTACCGGGGGCACTGGAGTTGGCACTACTGGAGCTGCTGGTAGTGCTACAGGAGTTGGAGCTGCTACAGGGGGCTCTGGTGCTGTCTCTGCAGGTTCTGCGGGTGCTTCACGGCCGCGGCCGTACTTCGTTCCGCTCCTTCAGCAGGTTCTTGGTCAGCCTCCTCCTCCTTGTCGTGCTCCCTCCTTAGAATGTCCTCAGCTTGTCCAGTCGCAGTTACAGTTACTACCTGCCTCGCCACTCTCTGGTCCGACAGGAGGTCATACGGAGCGTCTTGAGCCTGAGTCTCGTTCTGGAACTGGTGGTTCTTCCGGCGCTGGAGGTTTTGCTGCGGCTGGAGGTCCTTCTGCTGCTGGGGCTGCTGGGGGTTCTGGAGCCACGGGTCCCGCAGGTGCTCGTACTGGAGGTACTAGAGCTGTCGGGCCTGGTGGTGCTACTGGAGCTGAAAATGCTGGCGGTGCTAGAGCTGGCGATGCTGCTGGAGTAGGTGCTGCTGGAGGTACTGGAGCTGGAGCTGCTTTGTCTTCCGGTGGTCCTGCTGGAGCTGGAGCTGCTGGCGGTGCTGGAGCTGGGGGTGCTGCTGGAGGTGCTGCTGGAGGTGCTGGAGCTGGAGGTGCTGCTGGAGCCGAAGCTCCTATGGGTGCTGGAGTTGGCGCTACTGGAGGAGCTGATGGAGTTGCAAGAGCTGTTAGAGCTGACGCTGTGGAAAACTGAACGAGAATGAATGCACTATGAAATGAACTGAGCACAAATATGAAACCCTACTTGGGTTGTACCCCCTATGGGATACCCCACTATAGCCTACAGAAAAGAGTAAGCTATAATGTTCTGACACACCCCCATAGACAAAGTGGGGGAGAACAAGGGGTCACAAGACCAGTCAAACAAAGCAAAGCAAAGCTCAGGGTGGATCACAAAGTCACCACACATTCCGAGCACAAGTTCAAGGGCCACAAGGCCAGTTCACATGCAAGATCATATATAAAGATATACAAGAGTCAAGCATGTAAGAGCAAGAGTATATATAGGTGAAGGTACAAGCAAAGTCAAGAAGTGAGCAAGTGAGGCAAGACAGGCACAAGACCCAGCTGCGTGCAACAACGCTGATGATCACAAGGCGCAAGTGCCTTGGTGAAGACATCAGCAGTGTTGGCCTCAGAGGCCACGTACGCAAGTCGCAACTGTCCACGCTGCTGTAGCTCACGAGCAAGAAAGTAGCGGAGAGCAATGTGCTTTGTCCTGTGCTCCAGTCGCTGCTCTCGACACAAGGCCAGCATGGCCTTGTTGTCTACGTACAATACTGGAGGAGAACGAGGCGACTCTCCAAGGTCGGACAGCAGGTAGGTGAGCCAGCGTAACTCCTGTGCAGCCATAGCCCCGGCGTAGATCTCAGCCTCACAACTGGAGCCGAGAACAGAAGACGAGCGGGTGGCCCGCCACGAAACAGAGCCGGAACCAAGGCTGAAGGTGTAACCCTGTGACGACCGCTGCGTAGCCTGGTCGTCAGCCCAAGAAGCGTCCGCGTGCCCAGTGAGGACCACTGGACTGCGCCCTCCAAGCACTAGCCCCATGCCCGACGTACTGCACAAGTAGCGCAACACCCTCTTCGCTGCAGCCATGTGCTCTGGTCGGTGTCTCCCAGGAGCAACATAGCGTGCGAGAATGCTAAGAGGGTATGCAAGGTCAGGTCGTGTGCAGGTCATCAGGTACATGAGGCAGCCAACAAGCTCTGCATACGGGCCACTCGACTCTACGGACTCATCCGAAGGCAGAGCTGAGAGCGAGTGGCGAGTAGGCAGAGGAGTGGCCTGAGGCGAGGAGTACGTGAAGCCGAAGCGCTGAAGGACCTGCTGCACCATGTGTGACTGAGTCAAGGTAATGGTGCTGCGTGCTCTGTCCCGGGTGATCTGCAAGCCAAGGTAGCTGCGCAGTTCACCCAGGTCAGTGCACGTGTGTCTCTTCTGCAGCTCAGACTTCACGTAGGCGAGTCCAGCAGTGTCAGCTGTGGCAAAGACCAGGTCGTCGACGTACACGAGGATGTAGAACGGCGGCAGAGAGGTGGCGGTGCGAAGAAACAACGACGGGTCGGCAGTAGAAGGAGCAAACCCAAGTGCCGCCAGCGTAGTCCTCAGTGTGTCGTGCCAATCACGTGGCGCCTGGCGGAGACCGTAGACTGGACGCCGGAGACTCCACTGGGTACCAGGAGGGAAAGACCCAGTGAAGCCAGGTGGGCGACGCAGCCAGATCTCCTCGTGCAGGCTGCCCTGCAAGAAAGCAGTGCTGAAGTCGAGAGAGTGCAGCTCGTAGTCACGTTGAGCAGCAACGTGCAGCAGTACCCGAAGAGTGGTCATCTTCGGGGTGGGGGAGAATGTCTGAAAGTAGTCAACCCCATGTCGCTGACTGAAGCCACGAGCCACGTAACGCGCCTTGAAGACAGGCGGAGAACCCGACGGCCGCTT